CTATCCTGAATACTCACGAAACGCCGAGGGTCTCCGCAATCTCATCTCCACATTTAGTACAACAGCCGGATTGCCAAGGTGGGAGTTTACCCTCTAAATGCTGTGGTGGATGTAACTGATTTGCATCAGTCATATCAACGCTGAAACGCCTGGTGCCATACACGAAGGAGGCGAACTGGGATACGCCCTTGCGGTATCCTTTGGCGCAGTCATGGACAATCCCGATCTAATCGTCGCTTGCGTAGTGGGCGATGGTGAAGCAGAATCAGGTCCAACAGCAACGTAGGTCCCCGCGGAAAAGGTGACTCCCATTTGGCTCCGGTGCTAACAACCTGCGCAGATCATGGCATGCCATTAAATATATCGACCCTGCTGAGTCTGGTGCCGTGCTGCCCATCCTGCACCTGAATGGGTTCAAGATTAGCGAGCGCACGATTTTTGGCTGCATGGATGATAGAGAGTTGAACTCTCTCTTCACTGGCTATGGTTACCAAGTCCGCATCGTTCAAGATTTAAATGATATTGACACTGATCTCCATCGCTCCATGATCTGGGCCGTCGACGAAATTCGTAAAATTCAGCAAGCAGCACGGTCTGGAAAGCCGATCTTGAAGCCGAGATGGCCGCTGCTGATCTTGCGCACTCCAAAGGTACGTCCGCTACGTAAATGGTGACTACCAAAGAGCTCCAGTCTGGCTAACGCTCGTCCTTGTCACTGATAGGGATGGTCGGGACCAAAGAAAGTGCACGGTCAGTTCATCGAGGGGTCGTTCCATTCGCACCAGGTTCCTCTTCCCAAAGCGAAGAAGGACAAGGAGGAATTGCAGGCCCTCGAGGAGTGGCTGTCCTCGTACGGTCCCAAGGAGCTTTTCAAGGAAAACGGAGATGTTATCGACGAGATCAAATCTGTAATTCCCTCTGAGGATTCGAAGAAACTCGGTCAACGTGTGGAGGCATACAAGGCTTATGTGCCACCAAAGCTCCCGGATTGGAGAAAGTTCGCCGTTGACAAAGGCAGTCAAGAAAGTGCAATGAAGGTAACCGGGAAGCTCATCGACGAGGTCTTCCAGCTTAATCCCCACAGCGTGCGACTGTTCTCGCCCGATGAACTCGAGAGCAACAAGTTGAGCGCGGCACTGGATCGCACAGGAAGGAACTTCCAATGGGATCAGTTCTCAAATGCTCGAGGGGGCCGTGTCATTGAAGTGCTGAGCGAGCACATGTGCCAGGGTTTCCTCCAAGGCTACACATTGACTGGCCGCACGGGTATCTTCCCGTCTTATGAGAGCTTCCTGGGAATTATCCACACCATGATGGTGCAATACTCTAAGTTCATCAAGATGGTATTTCCGCTCTCTGTTTGCCCCCCTTCTCACATGAATACTGACACGGACTTTTAAGGCCCAAGAGACAATGTGGCACCGGGATATAGCTAGTATCAACTATATTGAGACGAGCACATGGACAAGGCAGGAGCATAATGGTTTCTCGCACCAGAACCCGTCATTTATCGGCGCAGTGCTCAAGCTGAAGCCCTCCGCTGCTCGGGTTTATTTGCCGCCGGACGCAAATACCTTTTTGACGACTCTTCACCACTGCCTGAAATCAAGGAATTACATTAATCTCATGGTTGGTTCGAAGCAGCCAACTCCTGTATACCTGACACCGGAAGAGGCAGAGAGTCACTGCAGAGCCGGCGCATCCGTATGGAGATTCTGCAGCACCGACAACGGTCTGGATCCTGATGTAGTACTTGTCGGAATTGGTGTCGAGGTGATGTTTGAAGTCATTAGTGCAGCGGCCATTCTGCGCAAGCGTTGCCCCGAGCTGCGTGTCCGGGTCATTAATGTGACTGACCTGATGATCCTCGAAAATGAAGGCGCTCATCCGCATGCTCTCACAACGGAGGCGTTCGACAATCTATTCACATATGACAAACCCATTCACTTCAACTACCACGGATATGCGACCGAACTGCAGGGACTGCTGTTCGGACGGCCCCGCCTGGAGCGAGTCACCATCAACGGATACATGGAAGAGGGAAGTACCACGACACCGTTCGATATGATGATTGTGAACAAGACATCACGCTTCCATGTGGCACAGGCTGCCCTTCGCGGAGCGGCGAGGAGGAACGAGCACGTTCGAATTAGGCAACAAGAGCTCTACACGGAGCTGAACCACAACATTGCGGAGACGAAGAAGTACATCATCGAGAATCGCAAGGGTAAGTTTGCCTTTCCACTTTGAAATCGTTACCATGACTGAAGTCTAACCATGCTCAGATCCCGATGACATGTATGAGACCCCGACGTTTGACTGAAAAGCTGGAATGAATGTGTATGAAATGAGATCCTAGTTATCCATAGACCAAGAGACAGGAACTTTTGCTCTTTTAGTATCACCGATCGTCATTAAGAGCGTACTCCGTAGTTTCACTTTGCAAGGTTCGCCTGATAGCATGTTGTTGCCTAAGGACTCCATAGACCGTCGCAAGCCATTCGGTCAGAATCGCCGCAGACCTCATTACCACGGTGCTTGGTGTGAGAAAGAGTTCTTGTATGTTTCATACAGATGCATCAATTCCGTCGGAGTCGGACATGATATCGCCGTTAAGAGCTCGTATTGGACTCGTCAGCTTAAGATCCAGGCTGCCGTTGAAACCTGATCGTGGCGTGCGCAGCCCTATGTCATTGGAGCAAATCTTCCTACAGATGCATGATGACACAGGAAATCTCACACCGAGTCTCAGAATTGAGCCAACAAAGGCTGCTTAGGATGATCAAATACCTACCACAGGTCTACCAGTTTCAAGACCACTAATCTCACTTCCATCGCAAAGGTCGGAGCTCGGAGCAATTCCAGCCCAAACTAAACCCGATTGAGTGGAGCTTGCGAGAAGCCGGACGTCGCTTGTCTCACTCACTGCTGGCCAAGCGGGTCCACGGATGCCGACATGGAGCGTTCAAGGTTGTGAAGGACTTGCCGATGGATCCAGTGGCTCAATGCTCGTCCAAGCGGGCCGTTGAATCATGGAACAGTTGGACAGTGGACAGAGGGTGCCTGGCCTGCCAGATCGTGGAATCGAATCAGATTGCTCCTTGGCCGACGGTTGCCCCCGCCTGTCTCCATCGATTATCAAACAATCATGAAGCGCCCAACGTCAAAGAGACAGCAGTCGAATTTTTGAGATCTATCCGACTGTTCTGAAGCCGGGACGTCAGAGGTATGGGTGCCTCAAATTTGATGACAGGGGGAAAGGATATGTAGGCCTTAGGCCATCATGGCTTGTTCCATGGCTCTTTGATCCTGCTTTTTTTGAAGCATTTCTTTTTGTCTTTCTGAATTGCTTTCGTTTGTGGACTGTGAGAGGGCTGGATATCAGCAGGGCGTACACCGTGTCGCTCAGCCACTCTTTTGCGTCTGGAAGGATTCTTACTTGTTCTAAGTGCTTTGAAGGATTCTTACTTGTTCTACCTTCATAGAACTTAAATATTACACAGTCCTACCCAGTGAAACGGGGTGTCACTCTTTCCCATTGATAAGATCTCATCTGGAGCTACCCTCCTCTCTTTCCTTTTCTCTCTTCCTTCGCTATCACAATCATAAGCGTCCTACCCAAAGATCGTCACAATGCCGGAAGTAACAGCGGAGCTCAGGGAGCAGCTGAGGAACAGTTGCCATCCTCTGGTCGATGGAGTCGACCCCGCATACGGATATCAGCCTTCTCTGGCCGCCGGGATTGCCTTTTGCGCCCTCTTCGGCCTCTCAATGATCGTTCACACTGTGCAATTTGCCTGGAAGCGAACGTGGTGGTGCTCCGTCTTCAGCATTGGATGTTTGAGTAGGTGATCTTGTCAGGAAACAGACCCAACAAGAGCTGACCAGGTTCCATTTCAACAGCCGAAGTCCTGGGGTGGGCTGCTCGCACATGGTCTTCGCAATGTCCCTATAACATGACTGCCTTCTTGATGCAGATATCCACTTTGATTATCGGTGAGTAGATTTCGACGAAGAGTACCAGAACCATACTGACGAAAGACAGCGCCGACCTTCTTCACAGCAGGCATCTACGTCCTCCTCGGCCGCTTCATCACCCTGCTGGGCCGCGAATCCTCCATCATCAGTCCAAGCCTCTACCTCTGGATCTTCGTCACCTGCGACGTCGTCTCGCTCGTCGTGCAAGCCATCGGCGGAGGCATGGCCTCGGCCGCAACGAACGAAGTCAACGGCGACACCGCGCCCGGCACGCACGTCATGGTCGCAGGCATCGTCTTCCAAATGGCCTCCATCACCGTCTTCGTCGTCCTCGCCGCCGACTTTGTCCGGCGCGCCCTCCGCCGCCGCCTCCTGCAGTCCATGACCGGGTCCATCGTGCCCCTATTCGGCGCCATGATCTTCTCCGTCCTGTGTATCTATGTGCGGAGCATCTACCGGACCATCGAGCTGTCCGAGGGTTGGAGTGGGTATCTAATTACCACGGAGCGGTATTTTATTGCCCTGGACGGCGCGATGATGGTTGCTGCTGTGGTGGTCTTTAATATCTTCCATCCGGGCTGGTTGATGCCCACGGGCAAGGACATGGAGTTTCATCGGGAGATCTACTCCGCCGATGGGATGCCTGCAACGGAGCTTCGGTAGCTTTTTCCCTCTTGCTGGTTCTGGATGATTTTCTTTCCTTCAGCTTTGTGTGCGGTTTATCGGTCACGGAATAGATCTTACGAGTAATGATAGACAAAAATTGCACAGGAAGTCCTGTAGAATTCCAGCTAGCGACGAGATCCAGTAGAAGATAACCGAACTGAAACAAGCCCGACCATCAAAGCACAACACGCTCAGAGACACAAAAGCACTCATAGTCATCACACATTCACCAACCTAACACCTAGTCCGAAAACGTGGTCCATGAGTTGACCCCCAGAAACATCGAATAGGAGACAAAAGAAAGTCAAGACTCAACTCCGTCCTCTAACAGGCATCTATTCTTCCTAATCCATCAATCATACGCCATCCACGGCCTCAATCCAACCGAATACTCCTCCAACAGCGACAGTCGCAACACCCCAGATAACTCCCCACATCGTGGCGCCAGGGACATCAACCCCCCGTACCGTCCCCGCGACCTGGAAAACGGTGTTGAGCACTATCATGCTAGCCAGAAGCGCCGTGCGCAAAACAAGAACCCTTGTCTTAGCGGACAACGTTCCCAACGTTTTCCGGTAAATCCCGCAGACAAGGTACTCGCCCTCGGATCCAGATTTCGACTTCACGGTGGCGTCGGAGCTGGAGGCACCGGTGGAGCTGACGAAAAGGAAATCCCTAGCGGCCCAGCCGGCGGGGAGGAGGGTGAGAAATAAAGTCGGGAGACCGGCAGGGCCGGCATGAGCGAATCTAATGTCGGGGATATTCTCGAAATGCACGACCAGATAAGCTGGCAGCCAGGTCGCATAGCTGAGGTACAGCACCACGGAGTAGATGGCGGTTGCTGCGACGGAAGTGTAGAGGGCTGTTGGGCGATCTTGCAGGATGGAGAGGTTGGGAACTGCGTCCGACGCGGCTTGCCGGAGATTGTGGACGGAGGAGGGGCGGCGGAGAAGAATGAAGGGAATCGCCGTGGAAATCAGAGTGATGCCATATGATGCCAGAATGGTGGTTGGCCGGATGCCGTAAAAGGACCACAATAGAGAGTAGGTCGGCAGATGAGTGAGAAAAGTGAACGACAAGACATCACGTCCTGGAGTCGCAGGACCATCAGCGCTTAATTCTAGGAAAGCATCGCGATAGAAGTAGGGTAAAGCTCACCGTCAAACCCAAGAACCCAAGCCAATCCCACTTCAACGGCCTTCCATAACATCAACCCACCCACCTCCCACCATGCCTCCAGGTGCTTGCTCACACGGCCCAACTCCCCCAGCGTGACACTGGATGTCAAGGTGAAGAGAACGGAGCTCAAGAGCAAGCTGTTGAAGACCACCAACAAAAATCGCACCGGAGAGGGGACCCGGCGCAATTGCGATTCTTCAGTTTTGCTTGCTGCTCTCGCCGCGTCAATCGTGGAATGGGCCACCTGCGTGGCCTTGACCACGGAGCTTCTCCTGCGCGGAGCCATAATTTCTTCCCGTCGGAAATAGCCGAGCTTTGAGCAACAAGGTAATTTTGACAAATACTGTGCAGATTTCCTGCGATTCAAAGCAAAAGCTCAATGCTAAGGGGAGTACTTAAATGCGAGGGGTGCGCCATGCACGAGGAAACTGGGATATTTTGCCTGCTGAGCGGTGAGCATGTGATGATGTCACCGCACAATGGTGTCATCAAGACATACGAATGGTTACATAGACATACCTCTCCAGAGAAGGCTACTATCGGACAATCTGACAATCTACTTATGGTCATGAGAGTAAATATACATAGAACATAAATAATAATACAGAACGAAGTCCATACCCCGCAATAATCAATATACACACACATTCACCATGGTATCGTCTTCAATCGTCGTCCCCATCCTCTCGCTCCTTGACTGAGAACTCAACAGTACCGCTTTCGCGGCCCTTGGGATCCCGCATGGTTATCTGGTATTTGCCCTTGTCCCAGAGATCCTTAATGGTAAGTTCGCGGGTGCGTCCCAAGCTTTCAATATCTCCAATCCGTTTGAGGGTCCCTTCCAGATGCTCCTCGAAGCCTGGCCATGAGCAGATTTCTCGGAATGCGTTCTGCATGGGGACAGAATCAGCTCGAACCATAGCGCGTGAGTCAATGGTAAAGATGTTCTCATGATCGTAGCTCTGTATAAAGTCGGCTCTGGTCATGATCTCGCGAGCCGCATGGAGCGGGATTTCTGGTAGTATATGACCTCGCTCTGGGTCATAAATCTTTTCCATCTCCTTTTCTTTGTCCACGAGTGCTTTGGCTAGGACCATAGCGGCTGACTGTGTGCGTGTCAGTCAAGGCAAGCTGATTGTTATTTTTGAATTGCAGACGTACCGCATATTTCTGCTGATCCATAACATCATCGTCCATGTCTTCACCGAGGATCCAGCACTTGTTGAGAAACCATGTCTTTTCCGATTCGCAAATGCTGTCACAGAGTTTCATGTAATCCCTAGCCTTGGCGACGCGGTTCAAAAATGACAATCGCCCGCCGACTTTGTCGTAGATGGTCTCAAGGGTTTGATCTGATAGGTCCTCACCAAAGTACTGCTTACGGTATCTCCTGAGCGCCGCCATTGCCTGACCTTTCGGAAGATCGCAGACTGGAATGACTTCCATTCTCGTCGCGTATCCCTTCAATCGTTCATATACCCAGTAGTCATCGCTGTTGAACACTGTTCAAGTTCATAGTGTCAGCATAGTTAGTTCGCAAAGGCAGCATATCTGGAAGGCATACCGGTGGTTACCAAGTTGCTGGCTGCCCATTGCTCAGCTCTCTGTTGAATCATTTCCAACAGATCCTGGCCATCATGGTCGTCTCGAACTAGGTGGGTGCTATTCACTATCAAGACCAGAGGGGCTGCTCCCTTACGTCTTCGCGCAAGCGCCACCTTCTCTAGCTTGTTGAACGCTCGCTCAATGTCAAGCAGGGCAGTGGTGTCTCGCGGACCTCTGATGCTGAACAAACTTCCGATGTAACTGTAGAAACCCTGTAAGTGGTTGCTCTCACGAACATAGGGTTGCAGCAAGCACATACTCTTCATGAAACTCAAAATCCAGGGCCTTCCCGAGCCTGATTCGGAAAATTTCAAGATCACTGTGCGCTTCAAACATAGCGACGCCGTCTCCATTGGTCTTTCGCATTGCCTCGAGGAGCATAGAGGTCTTCCCGGTACCCTTCTCGCCGATGATGAGGTAGTAGTGCCCACCGGATTTTCCCTGGATGATCCTGTCGAGTTTCTCCTGCTCATCACGGACAACCCAGTGCTCGTCGTGATGATATTGATGCTTTCCATATTCCACACCTGCAACCTCGAGTGCCGGATCGCCAGGACTGAAAGCATTATCCATCTTTTGCAAGATTAGATACTTGTAATACTGGTGGTAGGAGTATCCCGCTATGCTATAGTCTTGGGTTAGTGAATTACGTGCAACTCTACCTGAAGTCAAGACAGACGTACCCTAGCACGGTAATGGAAGCGAATGTGGTTGCCGCCGTCTCCAGCATCCTTAGGATGGTGGATTTGAAGGTGGGTTCAGAGTCTTGACCTCGACCCCGGTCATCATCTCCGCTATCTTTCTCCAATGGATTCGTCGCCGACAGCCCAGGCGTCCGCGAAAAGTGCCTCGCAGCGAGACAGGGGACCGCTGGATGAATTCTTACCGGCCTGTGCAGGCCCACGCGGGACGCAGCACTCAAAGATCGTTGAACACTCCGATTCCACAACATCTTTCACGCACAGCGCATTCGAAGAACAAAAAAAAAAAAATAATGATCGAATTCAAGACGGTGACCTCTACAAAGCGATGAAGCGAACATTTACTGTCAACTACAATGTTAACGAGATGACGTGGCAGAGTCTGAAGTATCAGATCAACTAATGGGGGGGAAACACTAAAGGGTTGTACAGGGAGAGGAAAGAAAAAGAACGCGATGAAAAATAAAAAGAGAAAGATTCAAAGGAGTGTGAGCTGAGCTTCAAGACAACAGCAAAAGGCCATCTAAAAGATAGATAGATCCAAACGAGAGTGGTCGGTGTGGACTAGACTGCAGACTGAGGACTGTCTCTTTTCTCGGTTGGACTCTCGAGCGCCTCTGCGATCGGATGGAGACCAGAGATCCACGCCTTGGCGATGCGTCCGGCACTGCGGTTAGACCAGTTTGTGACGATGTCCGATCAAGTTGTGGCTGAGTTGATGCAGAGCATTGGGTATTTTGAGTCAATTCCTTCAGATAGGTAAATGTATCAGATACCGATGATAAGCGAGTATATGTAGTGTCGTGATTTGTGAGTGTAGTCGCTGGATAGAATGGAAATATACATCTACACTCAAGGTATATCATGATMCTACAAGTAATTGTACCTGTATGTCCTCACTGTCGGAATTCACTTCTGCAAGTAAATGCACCGGCAAAAGAATCATGGAAGAACAGGCCGAATATACTTGGAACAATAGTCTCAAGTTCCAAGCTGCAATACCTATAATGTAGTAATGTCCTAAACAGTCCTTCGAGGTTACAGTCCCGAATTCCCCCTTGAAAATACGACCAAATGTATAGTCAACTGTCAATACTATCATTCCAATCCATCATTCATACATCATCCTCTCCTTGAGAGAATGAGACTTCTAGGTACTTGACTCTTGTAGTTCTTGGACGGTGTGGAGAAATCTTGGTGGGCGTAGATGCTCCGTCCGTCAAGCCCGAGCACTTCCGAGGGTATTCCGTGTCCACGAAATTTTCTCTTCTTCCCCGTGCTTTCTCCAGCTTCAACTCCTCCCATCTATCCTGGTGATATTTACTTGCCTCACTACGGTTGCCCTATCCTTACCTGGGTCCTTTTTATTTTCGGTTTTGTCTGGGGTACGGGGTTTGTTTCATTTGGATTCAATTGCCCTTTGTATCATATCTATAGTTCTTTTTCCTTTCCCATTTACCCCCCGGAAAAAAAAAAAGAAAACCCTTCGCCCGGTTTCCCGCTTTTGTTTCCCCGTTCGGAGCTCGAGGCAAGCTGTCGTGCGACAGCTTCAGCAACCAATTCGTCCTTTAAATAACCACTTTCATTCTATTCATCTTTCCATCGATCGCAATGGCGCAAACCAATGGCGATATGGAGCACTCGAAAGGTTGGTCTCGAAATTTTCGGCTTTCTCGGCCGCTCAGTCTTGCAGCCTCGATCCGCATTCTAGTGACGAAACTAACGGATCCTTCCTTATTGCAGAGACTCCCGAAGTTCAGCCAGTCGAACAGCCCGCCAATGGTGAACAGGTTGAGGGACAGCAGGAAGAGGAGAGCAGCGGTGGTATGTCGTATCCGCGATACCCGTGATGAATGGTACTCCGTATTGGTCATTCTCATCGCTAACCACCAGCCCGATAGGCCTTTTCCAGATCTCTGTCAAGCTTCCACATGAGCCCTATAAGATTCAGGTTATGGTGGGTGATAACATAGAAGCACACTAGATCACGAATGATCGTCCTAATCCATTTTCTTCTACCGCCCTCAGGTGTCAAGCCAAGAGCAGGTTCAGGATGTCCGCCAATCGATCGTCGAATTGCCCGGCACGTTCCAGTACACTTGCTTCCACCTCGAATTTAACGGCAAGCGCATTAATGACTTCGTTGAATTGTCTGAGGTCGAAGACCTCAAGGCCGACTCTGAGATTGTCCTCGTGGAAGATCCTTACACGGAGAAAGAAGCTCGGATGCATATGGTCAGAATCAGGGACTTGGTTGGTGCTGCAGGTGACCGTTCCGACAATCTGCACGGTCTCAACGCCGGCCTGTCGCTGCACGATGCTGTTACCGCCGAAGCCGCTGCCGATGATGTGAAGGAGCACTCCCTGTCCAAGTACGACATCACCGCTTCTCCCTCTCTGGAGACCCTCCTCCCCAGAGCAGAGGCCCCTCTCCCAAAGACTGTGAAGTCGATTTCGCTATCAGCATGGAACCCTCCTCCTTACCACCTTCGGCAGAAGGGTCACCTGCTCTACCTTCAGGTTACCACCAACGAGGGCGAGCAGTTTCAGATAACCTCTCATGTTTCTGGCTTCTATGTCAACAAGTGCTCGAATCACAAGTTTGATCCTCTCCCCAGAACTATCCCCAAGAAAGTCAGCGCACACTCGCTGCTTACCCTGATATCAAAGTTGTCACCCTCCTTCAATTCTGCTTTTGAAGCTCTCCAGGAGTCCAACAACAAGAAGGACCTCCTAACTACCTTCCCTTTCCAGAATGCTATTCCAAACAGCCCATGGCTCGTTACTCCTCCTTCTTCCAATCCCAATTCTCACCAAGCCGACATTACTCGCTCTCAGGAAAGTTATCTGGTCTCCGGTGTGGACAACGCCGAGACACTGCGCGACTGGAACGAGGAATTCCAGACTACTCGGGAGCTGCCCCGTGAGACCGTCCAGGACCGAGTGTTCCGGGAGCGCCTGACCTCGAAGCTGTTCGCTGATTACAATGAGGCTGCCGCTCGCGGTGCCGTGCTTGTGGCCAGGGGCGAAGTCGCTCCTCTGAACCCCACTGAGGGTCGCGATGCCCAGATCTTCGTGTACAACAACATCTTCTACTCTTTTGGCGCTGACGGAGTGGGAACCTTCGTGTCGGAGGGCGGTGACGAAGCCGCCCGTGTGGCCGTGGGCAAGGACGTCTTGGGAATTAAGGCAGTCAACCAGCTTGACATCAACGGCCTCTTCACGCCGGGAACTGTTGTCGTTGACTACCTCGGCAAGCGTATCGTCGGCCAGAGCATTGTACCTGGTATCTTCAAGCAGCGCGAGCCGGGAGAGCACCAGATTGATTACGGTGGTGTCGAGGGCAAAGACGTCGTCGCCACACATCCCGACTTCGTCTCCGTCTTTGAAAAGATGTCCAAGGCGCTCCGCATCAAGAAGCACCCTGTATGGGACAAGGATGGCAAGCGCCACGAGCTCGAAGGCAGCGTCGAAACCAAGGGTCTCCTGGGCACCGATGGCCGCAAATATGTCCTTGACCTCTACCGTGTGACTCCTCTTGATGTTCTGTGGCAGGAAGAACCCGGCAGCGACGACTACCCTCACCGCATGACAGTCCTCCGATTGGAGCTGGTTGAATCGTACTGGAGGTCGAAGATGAGCCAGTATGTCAAGGCTGAAGTTGAGCGCCGTCGTGCCGCCAAGGCCCAAGAGGAAGCTGCCAACAAGGAGAAGTCCTCCGAGGCCACCGAATCGAAGGAGCAGGAATCCGAGGAAAAGGCCGAAGAGGCTCTTGATCAGGAGCGGGTGGATATCTCTGGATTCCAGCTCGCGCTCAACCCMGATGTCTGCAGCGGCCAAGTTCCCCAGACTGAGGACGAGAAGAAGCAATGGGCTGAGGATGAAAAGGAGGTTCGCGATGCTTGCGAGTTCCTCCGTTCCAAGGTCATTCCCGAGCTGATTCAGGATTTGCATGATGGTGACGTTGGCTTCCCCATGGATGGACAGTCCCTCAGCCAACTCTTGCACAAGCGTGGTATTAACGTCCGCTATCTCGGCAAGCTGGCTCAGCTCTCCAAGGAGAAGGGCTCTCGCCTGGAAGCTCTGACCACTTTGCTGGTTCAGGAGATGATTGCCCGTGCCTTCAAGCACATCGCCAACCGGTATCTGCGGAATGTGCCTGCGCCTTTTGTCGCGTCCTGCGTCGCCCATCTGCTGAACTGCCTCTTGGGTGCTGACGTGAACCCGAACCCTAGTGCGGAGATTGATGCTTCCCTCCGCGAGATCTACCCCGAGGGTGACTTCTCGTTCGAGAAGGTCACACCAGAGACTCTGCGGGCCGAGGTCGAGAAGCAGGTTACCGTGAGATACCGTTATACTTTGGAGCCAGAGTGGTTCGCTTCCCTGAGACACTTCCAGCTTCTCCGCGACATCGCGATCAAGCTGGGTCTTCAGCTGGGTGCTCGTGACTACGCCTTCACCAAGGCTCAGCTTCCACCCAAGGTGCCTGTCGCCAACGGCGTCAACGGTGCTTCGCACGACGAGGGCAAGAAGAGAAAGAAGAAGGGTGGTGACTCCAAGTCTCCTACCCGTGCTGTCGCTGAGGAGAAGCCTGTTGTTTCGATTGTGCCGGATGATGTCGTCAACGTGGTCCCATTGGTCAAGGACGCCTCCCCTAGGAGCTCACTGGCCGAGGAGGCATTGGAGGCTGGACGTATCTCTCTGATGCAGAACCAGAAGCAGCTGGGCCAGGAGCTCATCTTGGAATCTCTGTCCCTCCATGAGCAGATTTACGGTATCCTTCACCCTGAAGTTGCCAAGCTGTACCACCAATTGTCTATGCTTTATTACCAGACGGACGAGAAGGAAGCGGCTGTCGAGCTGGCTCGTAAGGCTGTGATCGTCACGGAGCGCACTTTGGGTGTTGACTCTGCCGATACCATTCTGGCCTACCTCAACCTCAGTCTTTTCGAGCACGCTTCCGGAAACACCAAGACTGCCCTTGTTTATATCAAGCACGCCATGGACCTGTGGAAGATTATCTACGGATCCAACCACCCTGACTCCATTACCACCATGAACAACGCCGCCGTGATGCTGCAGCACCTCAAGCAGTACTCTGATTCCCGGAAGTGGTTCGAGGCTTCCCTAGCCGTATGCGAGTCGCTCTTTGGCAAGCAGTCCATCAACACTGCTACCATTCTGTTCCAGTTGGCACAGGCTCTGGCTCTTGACCAGGACTCGAAGGGTGCTGTTGGCAAGATGCGGGATGCCTACAACATATTCCTGAACCAGCTTGGACCCGACGATCGCAACACCAAGGAAGCCGAGACCTGGCTCGAGCAGCTCACCCAGAACGCCGTCTCCATCGCCAAACACGCCAAGGACATCCAGGCTCGCCGCCTTCGCCGCATCACCATGAACCCTCGCGTGACCACCCTTGGCACCAAGGTCCAACCCCAGGTTGGCCAAACAGCTCCTGAGGCTTCGGGCGCCAAGGATGCTGCCAACGCCTCTCTGGACTCGCGCAGCATTGACGAGTTGCTCAAGTTCATTGAGGGAGGTGACGCTACCTCTTCGCGCTCCAAGCAAAAGAAGCGTGCTGCGGCAAGCAACCCCAAGCTGCGGGGCTCCAAGAAGTCGTCTGCTTGAATCTGAGTTGTCCTCGTTTATCCCTGCTACCCTAAAACATGAAAAGTTTCTGGATTCTACTCTTTGACCATGTATGTGTTAACATTAACATATTTTTCCAGCTGTTTGTCGGTCTTAAAGGGTTGGTCTTTTGGATGAGCGGATATCTGTCTTTTGATTGTATGAATCTCTCTACTCTTTCGCCGATTGGCACTGGGCACTTTTCATCTTCTATTCTGTTCTTGTGTGATTCCACAAACAGTGCATAGCAGGTTGGGGGATTTGCATTCCATACTTGTGTGTTCTTGTACTATATATATGTATGACTGGCGGCTATCTAGACATGCAGCTAATGAAGCTATGCACTCCATGAGAAGAATGTTTTCTTGATCTTCTTTCCCTCTAGTATTCTACGTGGGAAAGCCGCCTCGCTTTGCTCTTGTCCAGATGGTAGCTTTGGACATTGAGATTAAGCATTTACACAGGCTAAAGCCATTGCTGTTGCGCTAAACCTAAGGTGGTAAATAGTTTGTTTTGCAGGTCGTGTGCGCTTTACCTTATTTGGAATCCCAGCTCGGATCCCATGTTTACATCTCTTGTCAAAGATCGACCCGACTCTCATTGTCCTTCTCCCTTATGGTCACTGTATCTTATGGCATTTTATTGCCGTACCTTTTAACTTGAACAGCTTTGTTTGCATTATATTTGCAGCAGTTTTATAGCCTATTTTACCTCGATCTTTAGGGCCCCGGAACAGCGGTTTTATTCCTGCAGGAAAACTATCTGGTTGAAAGATGGATGACCGCTGAAGCATAGTGAGGCAGTCCTGGTAAGTGGGCATATCGGACAGGAACTCCGACCGACGATAAAACTCATTTGGCGCAGTGTGCAGTGTGCTCGATTTCTCGTGCTCGTACCGTCCATGTTACTATGGAGGACGTCCGACCGACCGCGAAATGGGCAAATCGCATGTTGCGCCCGTTGACGTCCATCTACCATCGGCTAGAAAAGCACCATGAGATCCTCTCATCGATCGCGCAATCGAAATGGAAGGAACGGTCCGAGAACGCCGACGCTGAGCAGGCGAAACCCCGGACGGTCCGCAGTACCGAAGCGAGTTGCCAATTCTCAGACGAAGAACCGGACGATCCTGCCTGGGTGCCAGGAAAACAGGAAAAGCGTCGCATACGACACAATTATTCGAGTCGAGGGCAGAGGAATGGTGGACGACGGCGCAGTAGGTTGTTGATCCGCAGTCCGGAGTTGCAGCGGACCCTGCCTGGCGCGATCGACATTGCGACGCCTTTGATCACTGGCAAGGTGCGACAGACGTGCGAGGGATCATCTATTCGGAAACGTCTCTTTAGTGTGGACGTGCCTGCGGCGCCTGCTCAGAGTCATGCTGGGGCTACTGGTCAGCGAAAGACGACACGAACGAAAAAGAGCAGTTTTCCGGCCTACCAGGGTTCTTGGAAAGAGGTCCTCGACTTATCCGGCGATGCAGGGCTTGTGGGTATTGCGCACTTGTTGGATCGTATTTTTTTGAAGTTTTTGCATAATACGCGGGCTTTTGCGCCAGGTTCGCAGCAGGGGGGCCCCGGGGCTCGTTCTTTGGTATCGATGATCGCGCGGCGCCTTCCAGAGTTTATCGCGGATGAGCAAAGATTCCAGGACGAGACCGCCGAGGACTCTGAGGTGGACATGTGCGATGCCTATTTTACGGAATTAGAGGCTTACTACGCGCCGAATGGGAGTGGCTGGGAACCTCTTCGTGAAGCCGTGCGCGCACAAGGCATTCACTTGGTTGTACGGATGATTGAGAACGGATGGCTTACAAAATTGGTGGCTTGCCGACTTATGGAGGAATGCATGCGGCATGGCGAAGCTGATGCTTTTGAAATGATAATTTCAAGTTGTTTGTCAACTCTCAACGCATACCACTATCCACCTGCATTTGATCCACAAAGGCCGTCGACTCACTGTGACGACCCTGTATATATGTTACGGACCTATTACTCACGGTGCGGAGGGCGGGCTTTTGTGTACAACGAGCTGGCGAAGCTCCTTTTGCGAAGAGTGGTGCCGCCAGAATGGATGGTGACTACGTGGTGGAAGAAGTGTGTAGACGAAGCGATCATATCAGTGTCAACGGAAGATAGCTACTCCCCGGCAGCAACGCATCTCATCGAAGCCATTCTTCTATCAGCTGGGGGCATTTATCTATCCACAGAAGGAACAGCTTTGCTGGAAAAGAACCTGAACCAAAAGCAAGTACTGCACTTGAAAGACACTCGTGCCTCGGTCATGACAAGTCTGCGGGCGAATGACTCGACGCCGTGTCCGATACCAGTTCAAGATGCTCTGAGCAATCTCGTCTCGAGCCTTGTTACCGCGCTCTGCGGTATGCACATCGCGCGGTCGAATGCTTCAGATGCATCTGAAAGACTTGTTGGCATCAAAGCCAGACACACAATCAATTGCCTGGCGTTGACAGTGGAGAGGGATATTGGATTAAGGCATCGACAAGACGATGGGGATGCGCCATCCTACCAATCTTTGCGACGCGGGTATCTCTTGCTGGGCGACTGCATGCTTCAAATTGGCGAAGAAACGCCCTCTAACAGCAGGCCCCGATGTGATCCCGTCTCGAAACAGCGCATTGACTCCTTCTTCGAGTCACTAGCCCTGCAGCAAGATACGCTCAAAGAACTTTCGGATCTCGTTCAAAGAGTCTCTCGCTATTGCGGGCAAGGTGACGTGCGCGAGCAGACCCGAACGTCTCGAGCGGTTCGGACTAAGATCTCACAGCTGGCTCGGCAGGCAAATGCCCGTGGGTTATCCTATTTCCTTGGAAGAGTGGCAGCGGAGACGGCAATGGCGCTTGCAGAGAAGACCTTGGATCCGGATGACCATGTTTGGGCCGTTCAGATCCAAGAGAGCGTTGTTTCGGCGCAGCAGGGGCAATGCGTCAATGCGGTTTTCTCGGACGAATCTGAAGAACGAGCCGACCGTACAGGACTCTATCGATGGGAGGAAAGTATTGGGGAATGGATCGCAAGCACTCCCAAGCCCAAAGGTGGACATACGAACTGGAATCGAAGCCCGGTGGTTTCAGAAGCAGGGAGATTTTCAATCATTTCCTGCTCGGATAGGAGGGAGTCAGTTGTCTCTGCCGCTTCCGAGCGCAGTGCTTCGAGTGTCACATCGTCGGCTCCATCTCTTCCGGCCAAGAGGACGTATTCAGGCAATGAGCTTGCCCMGCGGCCTATCAAGAAGCTGCGATCACGAGCTGTGGAGATATACGCTGATGGTGCACAAAAAGGAGCAAGAAGCCAACCGTCCTGTTTAACATCAGTACGTTGCTCGTCAGCTGAAGCACGCTGTGTCCCAGTAGCCGCCCGTACCAGGAGCCCGCGGGGCGTGCTTGGGGAATTAGTGCAAGCTAAGAACGTCCCGAACCGGGCAGTCGTCGGGGAATTGACGTCGGCGAATCTATCTCCCAAATTGGAGGTTGTTATCATTAATAGGAAGAACTCTTCCTCACTGGATGAACCGATTGACCAGGCCACCGATTATGCACTCGAAACTTGCGCTCTTCCACCTCGACAGCCACGCCTCCCCATCATTTCAAAGCCAGCGAATCCTAAGCGGCGCTCAACCTCTCGTATACGTGCTGTTCMGCGCTTGAGGGTCATACCTTGCTCCCAGGATGATGAGAGTGAGGACGAGCTAAGCTTCCTTTGAGGATGAGCCTGTTTGACAACGGTTCCGACCTTGACCCCTGCAGGTCGGCATGGACTGACCCAGGCCACAGGGGCGAGCCAGCAGGGCTAGATGTCGGATCACCGCTTGACTATTCTTGGTTACCTTATCCTTTTTTCTTTTTCCTTTTGGGTACTTGGGATTCACAGCGGAGTTTTTCCTTTTTCTGGGATATTTGGTTTTTCTGGACTGTTAGGACGATACCCGGGACCTGACAATATTATGCGTCCGCATTGATTTCTCTATTTCGATGGTACTTAGCTAGTTCAACATGACTTTTCTGCAGCAATTTGGGAGCTCCATCTTGGAACGAGGAAACTTTCTTTTTGCAGTTTTAGGGGCATTCGTGCTGAATCACGGGATCTTGTGTAGCCTGGACGATTGGACGAGAACTGGTTATGATCCTGCTTTTGACGCCATCGTGGCCAGATGACACCCGAGAAAGTTTGAAATTGCAGTGGCTGAAGCTATTCTGTATATCATAGAGTACCCGGATAGGACATGTGTCGCAGAAGCCATTAAAGCCCCTGCTATCTGCAGCAGGAGTCAATAGCATTCAAGATGCGGACTTTGCCTGATTGCCTCTAGTGGGACTAGATATGTTATATGGACTACGGAGGGTATCTGTTTTGATGCAGACGCTGCCTCCTCGGTGGACGATGCACTGGCCTCCCAAATAAGCATGAGTCTCTGTGACTGGGGAAATGGATGTCAAGACGGTTTAACGTTGCCTTAACTTTCGACTACTCGTTTCAGTATGAGTCCAGGATATCGTGAGCGGGTTCTCGAGCGGGCTATTCATAGCGCCTATGAAGTAGTTTCTCCCTTCTAAGGGAGAGCTAATGACGATTCTCGTCTTAGACTCTCTCAGCGAGTGTGGACAATGGCCCAGGCCCAATATAAATTAATTTATCTCCTCCGTAAGACACCCGGAATCATTTCCCATCTCAAGAAGACTCCGTGAAGCCAAGCCGCTTTTGATCTCCCGTGTCTTATATGACTCGATTAGAGCAGTCCTATGTCCTTTTCGCTATCGACCGTTGTTCCATCGTCTCTTAAATCCAAGGACGCATTCCATATATGCCCAAAGTAAGGCTTTTGAGTGTGACGTGCTTAGCCATCGCCACGTGACACCAGTGGAAAGTCTCTAATTTCCCCAGTCTCTGTAACTAATCAGATGGAATATAGACTCCGTAGTAGGCTACTCTGAAACTCGAAATTGATACTACTCTCCCGCCAAGAAGCTTCAGATCCACAGACTCCACTACTGTCTACGATTCCTTCCCGTTTATGAGCTCAGATTGGATCCTTTCAGCCGTGGCGCCAACAACCTCAAACAAGCCAAGTCTCATAGTCGCGTAATTGAGTCAATTGTCCGTCCCGCCAGGGTTTCATGACTCGGCCATTCAGACTGCAGTACTGCTCTGTGTACTTTGCCACCACAAGAGTGATAATTATTACTCGAGTAATCGTGTACGGAGGCTCGCGTGGCATTTGAGAAGTGCTCCGTACAGAGCACAGAATAGAATTGCGTGGGAGGTTGATATTTGGGCGCTTACTCGGTCTATCGATCTATAGGCTGGCGGGTCATGGACTGTGATAATGAGGTCCGTGATGCTGTGGCCTTGCTTTTAGGCTGCATTCTTCTGTTGACAGATGACGTTAGGTCTCACGTAGAGAGGTATGTAGGTACTTTATTTCCTACGAAGCTCGACTCGAGATGCAATGTCTTTTTTATGTCTCTGTTGTGGCTCTCCTCCGCCAGGATTGGACCAGTCCTTCAGCAATCTAGCTGAAGCATTGACAATAATAACGGTTGATTCGAGCTGAGACGGGGACTCGATATTATCTATCGTACCAAGTATCTATCTATCTAATAATAATAATAATAATAATGTCAATATAGTCTGTCTGCGTCTGTGGATCTTAACTGACACCCAACCCCCGCGTCTGTCTGGGCAGGGGCTTTTGAACTTTTGAGCCCTCTTTTTCGTCTTTTCAATTTTTATCCAACCTGTTTTCCCTCTCTTTTTTTTCCCTTTTCAATATCATAAACTGAGTAGATCTTCATATTCCTTCTTGTTCTTCTCTTCTTTTGCTTGGCAGAAAGTTCTGTCTTTTCTTTCTCTGCGTTCGTTTAGATACAAGACATTGTGACTGGATCACCTTCACATTCCTTTCGTTGCCCGCCGGCATTCGCTACAATCCAGAAGAACGTCACGTATCCAACCTGGGACACTTCGTTCGAGCGCGGGACCTCTTTTGTCTTTTTTAAACCATCTGTGGCTCTATAAGTTTCCCCTCTGGAAGAGATAGCAAACAAAGCCTTTGTCTGTGACATCTCAGGCCTGGACATTGGACCTCGCACTGGGCGCGCCAATCTGACTGCAAATACCTGGCGCCCCCTTGAACTCCCTGGCTGTGGTTATCGTCTCGCTGCTTTCCTGTGACAAAGTCCGACTATCGTCTTCAGCTCCCTTCGCTTGAGCAAGTTCCCGGTCTGCAGAGCTGGTCTCGCACGACCCTTTCCACTGCTGGACTTCTGGATTCCAGGCTTAGCTATCGCCTGTATTTCTTTTTCTTCGTTCTTTAAGTCTCAGTCTTGAGATTACCTTTGCCCACAATGCAATTTCTCCTTCTTGGAATGTCCCTGGTTGGGCTCTCGTTGGCAGCGGATCTGGAGAAGCGCGGTGGCGGTGGAGGTTCGGCTTTCGATATCTATGAGATTGTCAACGATGACCTTTCCCGTATCACTCTTCTCGTCCTCGGCTGCATGGCCGCGTTCATCTATGCCTGGAAGATGTGGTTTCGCATCTCCGCTCATCTCAGACGGCTGGCAAGCTTCAACAACGAACAGCAACGGTACTTCGTTCCTGCCGATGGGACCTTCGCAAAAGTCAAGAACCACATCATCTACGCTCCGCTGTTTCGTAACAGGCACAATCGTGAATTCCAGCTGTCTTCGGCCATCAACATGGGCACTCTGCCCAGTCGGTTCCACGCCTTCATCGTAGTGGGAATCATCGTTATGAACGTGGTTCTTTGCGTGGTCACCGTTCCCTACAAGACCAAGGAGGACACAGTCGCAGGCGTCATCCGTAACCGGACCGGTACTATGGCGACGGTCAACCTGATTCCGCTCATCCTCTTGGCGGGACGAAACAACCCACTCATCAAGCTTTTGGAGGTTCCGTACGATACATTCAACCTGATCCACCGCTGGCTCGCTCGGATCGTGGTCTTCGAAACTCTTGCTCATGTGTTTGCCTGGGCTATTCCCAAGGCCCAGAAAAGTGAGTTGCTTGTCTTTGGAAGTGTACATCGGCGTCTGGAAAGCTGCCGCTAACTGTTGTATAGTTGGCTGGGGCGTTGTAGGAGCGATCTTTGGGGAGAGCACCTTTATTCTGACTGGATTGATTGTGAGTTTTGGTGACGAAAGACCGGGTCAAGTCAATTGTACTGACTGTTCTGCAGGCTGCCTGTGCGTTCGTCGGGCTCATGGTTCATTCGCCCTCTCCGATTCGACATGCATTCTATGAAACCTTCCTTCATCTGCATATTGCCATGGCTATCGTTTCGATGGCTGGCCTTTGGATTCACTTGAACGGCTTTCCGGCTCAGACTTACTTGCTCGTCGCCATCATCTTCTGGGGTCTGGAGGTAGGTCATCGCAATGCCTGTTCATAAAAATTGAACTCGATCCTCAAGCTGACTGTGCCCACAGCGCGCCACACGAGTTGCGATTATTGTGTATCGCAACTGCGGAAGAAAGGCGACAACCGCGTTGGTTGAAGCCATGCCAGGCGAAGCGATGAGAATCACCCTGAAGATGGCAAGGCCCTGGACGTTCAAGCCCGGCCAGCACATCTACCTCTACATGCCCTCAATCGGTTTGTGGACCTCGCATCCATTCTCTGTCGGCTGGAGTGAGTCGGAGGAAGTCGTCACGGATGAGAAGGGTATGCCGATGACACGCCAGGATGTGTTCGGCTTGCAGAGGACAACCATCTCGCTGCTTGTCCGGCGCCGAACTGGTTTCACGAACAAGTTGTACCAACGCGCTTTGAGCGCTCCCGACTCGCGCATCACTCTGAAGGCGTTCGCCGAGGGACCGTACGGAGGCATCCACACCATGGACTCCTACGGCACAGTCGTCCTGTTCGCCGGTGGTGTCGGCATCACCCATCAGGTCCCATTCGTGCGCCACCTAGTCAAGGGGTATGCGGAGGGCACCGTTGCTGCACGACGAGTCACTCTGGTCTGGATCATCCAGTCCCCCGAACACCTTGAATGGATCCGCCCCTGGATGACCAGCATCCTGGCCATGGATCGGCGCCGGGAAGTCCTTCGGATCATGCTGTTCATCACCAGACCCCGTAACACCAAGGAGATCCAGAGCCCGAGCGCCACAGTCCAGATGTTCCCAGGCCGACCGAACATCGATACCCTGATCGGCATGGAGGTCGAAAATCAGATCGGAGCCATGGGCGTGCTTGTCTGCGGAAACGGCAGCTTGAGTGACGATGTCCGTCGCGTGTGCCGTAAAAGACAGGACCAGACGAATGTCGATTTTGTGGAAGAGAGCTTTACGTGGTAGTCGACGTTAAAAGACCGAATCGGGTTTCCTTTTCTTCTTCTCTGCCCCTGGCGTTGGGTAGAACAAAGAACTGTTTCCCCCTCAATCCTCCCGCTGGCGTATCGACCTTGCTTTACTACCTTGTTCTTGTTCTCTGTGCCCTCAGTCAACCGACTTGAGCATGCTTGTGGTTCCTCTGTCTTTTCGGTTATGGAGTTGGTTGTCACTTGTTGATTCCTCATGGATGTACATAGCTTCCTCCTTATAGCTTCTCAACCCTGCTGTCTGCATTCATGTCCGTAGGCTTATCCTTCGATCGGGTAGACCTAGGTTCTCTCCATCGCCCACGATCGAGAATCCAGGCCACCTCCAGGATTCCCAAACCATGATGAATGATACATAGTGTGTTACCTACCATGAACTGCGTAAACTCAAAACCCCGCGCAGATGACATCTACAAACCAACCATGCCTCTCTAACCGACCCTTCCACCTGACTTCAGGGTCGCCCGCTAATTTCAGGGTCGGTTACTCCGTATAAGCAATCAATTGAACACGAGTTATACGACACGGGGAACGCCTCCATGGCCCCAGAAACCATCCTCATTCGCCAAAGCCCTTTCTGCAAATCCGAGAACATTGAACTTAACTATCTTATGTTATCTTGGATTAAAAATCGTGAATGGGGTGGGGCGACACTGATGGCATCATAATCAAGTCAAAGCTATTAATCATCGAACGGCGGGTTCGGCGGGGCAATTGGGCCGATTAGCAACGCGGCTGACAGCTTTATAAAGCTGGGGTCCCCAATTTGCGATAAGGACAGGATTTCAAAAAGAGAATCCAAATTTGTTCATGCTTTTGGGTCCGCAGAGAATTGGGTCAATCTGTGCATACTCTACTCTTAAACAAACATTCACCATGGCGAACAGACCGGACATTACACTGTACACTACGCAGACTCCTAACGGGATCAAGATCTCCATTGCGTTGGAGGAGTTGGGGTATATTTGTCTTTCTTTTATCTCTGATCGATTTCTATTCTCTGTTCTGGGTTGGCTGACACTGTTGGATAGACTCCCGTACAAGGTAGAGAAAATTGAGTTCTCCAAGAACACTCAGAAGGAACCGTACGTATTGAAGTGACACTCATGGCCAGAACCTATACTAAACCCAACCAGCTGGTTCCTCGAAATCAACCCCAATGGCCGTATCCCCGCCCTGACAGATACCTTCACCGACGGCCAGAAGATCCGGCTCTTCGAGTCCGGCAGCATCCTCACCTATCTGGCCGAGCAGTACGACAAGGACCACAAGATCTCCTACCCCAGGGGCACCCGCGAATACTACGAGACCATCAGCTGGCTGTACTTCCAGAACGCCGGCGTCGGACCCATGCAGGGCCAGGCGAACCATTTCGTGCGCTATGCCTCGGAGCACATCCAATACGGTGTCGACCGGTACGTCAACGAGACGCGCCGTCTCTACGGTGTGCTCGATAAGCAACTCTCCAACTCAAAGTCCGGGTACCTGGTCGGCGACCATGTTACCATCGCGGACATCTCGCACTGGGGCTGGGTGGCGGCCGCTGGTTGGGCCGGCGTGGATATCAATGAGTTCCCGCATCTCAAGGCCTGGGAGGAGCGCATGGCCGCGCGCCCGGGCGTCGAGAAGGGCCGCCATGTGCCTGCGCCGCATACCATCAAGGACCTGCTGAAGGATAAGGAGCGGATGGAACAGGAGGCGGCCAAGACAAGGCAGTGGGTTCAGCAGGGCATGAAGTCGGATGCGGATAAGGCGAAGCACTGATTACGGGCGTTATTATATGATGTGAATGCATATTGAAACAAATTTCTCTCTTAGCTTGATAATATGTTTGATGCCTTTCTTGAATCTCTCATTCTTATAAGACAATTCTGCCTGAGCAGACCTACGGATATCCAACCAATGGATAGGACGACTGTAAACCACGTGACGGGCTCACCCCGGTTTAATAAATCACGTGACAATCAAAGCTTGCCACATCGTCCCTTGAAATGTGGTTCAGATGCAACAGTATTTTAATAGCTCTTGCTCTCGCTTCAATACCGGACAGAGCTCTGTGCTTACTTACCAGACAGATTAACTCTTGTATCGCAGCTTATCGCACCAGGACAAAATGGCCTGGCGCAATCAAGGAATCACCGGTTCCAACAACATCCCTCTAGGCCGTCGGCGGTTTGGAGGTGAGGATGGCCCAGAGGAGGAGAGTCGCACCGCGACGCCTGCATCTGTCGGTGGAGATAATGGGGTCAAGCGTGGCAGAAGTCCAGTCCGAGGTACGTCTTTGCCTTACCTGTATCATTTCCAGTCGATTTACTAACTCACTTCCTTCACAGCGGACCCTCCTGCTGACGGTGTGAAGAGGCGCAAGAAGCGCAACCGTTGGGGTGATGCTCAGGAGAACAAGGCTGCCGGTCTCATGGGCTTGCCCACAATGATCATGGCAAACTTCACCAATGAACAGCTTGAGGCTTACACACTGCATCTTCGTATTGAGGAGATCAGTCAGAAGCTCCGTATCAATGATGTTGTTCCTGCGGACGGTGATAGGTTCGTTTCCATCCCCATTTTTCTCATCTTCAAGTGTTCGCTGAGCTAACGATTTTTTGTGCAGATCTCCATCGCCGCCTCCGCAGTACGATAACTTTGGCAGACGTGTAAACACTAGGGAATACCGTTACCGGAAGCGTCTCGAGGACGAGCGCCACAAGCTTGTCGAGAAGGCCATGAAGACTATTCCTAACTACCACCCGCCCTCTGACTACAGGCGCCCAACCAAGACCCAGGAGAAGGTCTATGTTCCAGTGAATGACTATCCAGAGATTAACTTCAGTATGATAACTAACCCTCTAACTCCTAACCATTCCTGCATTGTGTCGTTCTTGGCTCTCTGCTCGAGTCGGGCCCGTGAGACATCGCCTTGTGATGATGTGTCAAAGGCTCGCTTCCTGCTAACCCTTGCTACTTGACTATCTTGCTTTCCATTGCTTTGCTCTCCTTGAATAACCATCGTGAACTAACACTTAGCTCTTTGCTACCTTTTAAAGTTGGCTTACTCATAGGTCCTCGTGGAAATACCTTGAAGAAGATGGAGACCGAATCTGGCGCCAAGATTGCCATTCGAGGCAAAGGCTCCGTCAAAGAGGGAAAAGGTCGATCTGACGCGGCTCACGCTAGTAACCAGGAAGAAGATCTCCATTGTCTGATCATGGCAGATACCGAAGAGAAGGTTAACAAGGCCAAGAAGCTTGTGCACAATGTTATTGAAACAGTAAGTTCATGTGCCTCCCTTGGGACAGAAATTCAGATGCTAAACGACGCATGACAGGCTGCCTCGATTCCCGAAGGCCAGAACGAACTCAAGAGAAACCAGTTGCGGGAGTTGGCTGCTCTCAACGGTACCCTCCGTGATGATGAAAATCAGGCTTGCCAGAACTGTAAGTTTCCAGATTGCTCTCCTCGTTGAATTTCTTATGCTAACTTGCTCAGGTGGCCAAATCGGACATCGCAAGTACGACTGTCCCGAGCAGCGTAACTTTACCGCCAACATCATTTGTCGTGTTTGTGGCAATGCTGGCCATATGGCTCGCGATTGTCCTGATCGCCAGAGAGGTTCCGACTGGCGGAATGGCGGTGGTTATGGCGGTGGCCGCAGAGCTATCGGCCAAGGCGATGCTGTCGATCGTGAGATGGAGGTAAGTTCAATATCGTTTCTTTATTTTCGAACAACAGATGCTAATTGTCAACAGCAACTTATGCAAGAATTGTCCGGCGGTGCTCCAGGTCCGGACGGCCAGCCTCCTCGCCGCATCGAGGCCGGTCCCGATCACGGTTACGATGATCGTGACGCGAAGCCATGGCAACGCGGACCTCCTCCCAGCGATGTGGCTCCCTGGCAGCAGAGAGGGCGGGACAACCGCTCTCGCGATGACTACGGATCCCGCGATCAGGGCAGTGCACCTCCGTGGGCGGCACAAAGCCGTGGCGGCGATTATGGATACGGATCGCAGGCAGGTGGCTACGGCGCCCCCGGTGCTGCTGCTGCTGGTGGCGCTGCTCCTTGGCACCAGCAAGCTCCGCCTCCACCACCCGGCGGAGCCAGTGCTTATGGATATGGGGCTTATCCCGGTTACGGCGCAGCTGTGCCTGGTATGGGCGCCCCGGGTGCTCCTCCGGGTCTGAGTGTGCCACCGCCTCCGCCCGGCATGCCTTCCATGTACTACGGCTCTGGCAGCCCTCCGCCACCTCCCCCTGGCGAAGGACCCCCACCTCCTGTACGTTCTACCCTTGGACCAACTTGAATTCAAACAAGATTGCTAACTTGCGCATAGCCTCCGAGTGAGCTCCCCCCACCTCCTCCCCCTTCTGCATAGACAATATGCAGTACAAAGGATGTTTGAGCAATATACCCGGAGCGTCGTGAAAAGTGGGATTATGAGAAGCATCGGCAAACACGATAAGGGCGCCTGCTTTGCGAGCAGTGTGATATTTCAAAAACGCACGGGGAAATTGGCCATTGGTAGTTTCAGATCTAATATGGGCGTTGAAATTGATGCCACTAGTGTGTTATAATTGATTACCCATGCAAATTATTGTTTTACTCGAGACCCTTCCGTAGAATTCACCGTGATAGTGTAGCGCGACCTCTGGGTTTCATGTAGATGTCGGGGGACTGCAGATGATGTCAGTAGGAAAGGAATGGAATAGCCCAATTGGGCGATTCCGTCAATCGCTTAGACCGCTATGCCTAGAAAAGCGGTGCCTCAGGCTTAAAATGTTGTTTATCCATTATTGCCTCTTTTCCCAATCTTCAAGATCTCAGAAGACCTGAGTAGGATTGGAATATCCTCCTGACACTAGATTTCCCGCAGCCGCAGAGCGGTTGACGTGGTTCCCCCATCTCACTTCACTGCCAGCACAATTTATCTTGGCCAGGAAAGCGTGGTACAAGTATACAACTGTACACCGTACAACATGCAG